TTTTTTTTTTTTTTTTTTTTGAATTTTTAACTCACTTCCAACCGTGTGGAAGCAGACAGTTATCTAAAAGTAAACAGCAGAACCCAGATAACGCTGATTTTAGTTTTTTTTCAAACGTTTCTAGCTTCTTCTCCTAACATTTTCAATATACTTTCAATTTTGCATGACATTTTTTGTTAAAGAACAAACAGCATCAAAATAGGTTTAATTTTTTGAAGGTCCATTAACAAACGTCTTAAGTGGAGTGGAAAGAGACGAGAAAAAGCAGATAGGAACAACGACTACAGCGACACAAAGAATGGCGGAAAAAGAGGTCACGATTTACTTCCTCGCAAGAAAAAAAAAATCCTAAAACAACAACGAAATGGAGTAAAACGGTTAAATATTCAACAAAATCTACTTCATTGGCGCTGGCAGTTACATAAATTTTCCTGTTAGATTTATGGACGCGCTTTTGCGCAAACCAAAATACTGTTCTTAACTTTCTTCTTTTTACTTTTTGCTGGAAAAAAATGATTGTCTTTTTTGGGTAAAAAAAAGGAATTTTCCTACATCCAAGCAAGCGAATGACGGGATATTTGCTGCCAGTTAGAAAGTATGATCCGAAGTCACACACCGACATATGTCGTGATTCCAGAATCGTCGATGAAGAGATGATATTGAACTAAGCGGCCGATAGGGAGATTAGAAAAAACGACAGTGAACTAGACAAGTGAGACCACTTCATTGTTGAAGGCCATTTTCAAGCTGCTTTCATCGTCAAGAATCAACTAAGGGCAAGAGAAAAAAAAGGAGACAAATGGATGAGATATTTTGGGAAGAAACAACAAATGCATTGAATAGGCGACTTGGCGAGCATTTTAATGTCTTTAAGCTGCAATGTCTTTTCAAAGTATTATTTTAGCTCACAGATTTAATAGCCAGAAAAAAAGTTAAAGGAACTAAAACTAAGGATAAAAATAAATATTAATATGAAATAAATACTGAATAAAAAGTTTAAAAAAGCAAGGGTGGAGAACAGAACCATTCACACACAAACGCATAGAAACATACATGACATCTCTGTATTGTAAAAAAATTATTTAGCATCAAACAGATCGATCTATCTATCTTTTTTCATCTTTTTGCATACTTTCTGCTCCGTTTTCACATTACTTTAATCCATTTTAAAAAAAAGTCTCTTTTTCTACTGAATGAAAATAAACGAAAAAAAAAGAGAAAATAAGTTAAACGTGTTTTTTAAAGCTAATACGCAGTTTACTAGAACTAAAAGTTTGTTTGTTTTATTGTATTACAAGTATATTACAGGACTAGAAAGCAAAATGAAATTTGCTCAGTAACCGCTTTTTAGCAACCGTTGAACACTTAACATATATCTAATCTAAAATGTACTTGTTTCTACATATTTTCTCATAGAGTGAGAAAGCGGGGGTGGAAGAGCGAGATTAATGGCGTCATACGTATAAGGTGACGGTGGTGGGTTACTACCTTAAATTTGCGCAGTTCAACAATTTCTGTAGCCTACGCGGGACTAGAAGCTAGATGAGTAGACCCGTAGATAGAAATACGAACAGACAGATAGAGGAATATATGCATTTTTTGCTTTCTCTTTCCTCTCTGTATTCGCTTCCGAGGAAGATGAAGAATTTACAAAGAATCAAATTTTTATGATTGGGTAACAAGATTAAAAGCCTTAATGTAAGTGAAAATAGAAGAAGCAAATAGCACCACTGTAGGAAAAAGAAATTGACATCTAATACCGAAGATATCCGTCCGGCTGTCTAATGTTGTCCGCAAAAGGCTAAAAAAGCTTTTTCCTCATTTTCCTTCCCACTTAT